CAAGTTTAAATTTTATTGAGAAATAGGTCTTTCATTTGTTCCACATTGATTGTTCAGAAAGCCCTTTATCTATGTATTCTATGTATACTAGGGTTAAAAAACCTTTGAAAACACTGATTTGACACACATACTGAGGTGCAATACACATAAGTATGCAGAAAGTTGAGGCTTTTCTATATAAACAGTACTGAAATATGATAATGGGCTAGGACATTTCTTCTGAATGTTTGGGTAACTTTTGCAAATACTAATTCTCATGCCAAGATCATCATTGTTAATATTTGATTTTTATCTTGTTATACTTTTTTCATTTTCAACTGTTATTTCATTTTCAATTCAGCTGTATTATATAGACAGCATTTAAGCATTCCATGTTTTTTTTAATTACATTGAAAAAAAACTTTGGGGAATGGGAAGTATTTTTCTTTAACCTTCATTACAGCTTGTTTTTCATTTAGCAACAACCTCAAGGTTCCTTCTATTCAATGCATAATTACAGATAAGATCACCAATTACTTGGCTAAAAATCTAATTAGTGAGCTTGGGAAATCTTGCTTAATCATTGATTACCAATAGGAATATGTCCATTGTTATATCACATGTCCTCTATCTGCCAATACAGACATGTTGCATAGCAGATTTTTCATTGATAAGCATGCATCGTAACAAATTTACAAGGCCTAGAAAAGTGCTGCTGATTCTCTCCCCCCCAATGCAGTATAAAGCAACAAATTAATTTGTTCTATACCTCTGGCAATTGATGGTTTGGCACTATGAGTTGCATGAAAAACTGTATAAAAATCTATATGTACATACATATATGTGTGAGTATATAATATGTATACCTTATGCTATAAGCAATATCATGTAAGCCTGTGAAATGGCTGTTTATCCTTAACTTATAAATGTAAGCTATTTTGAATTAATACATTTTGCTCTTCAATTTGCCTAAAAAGCAAGTGATGTCATATCAAGTAATAATTATGCCATTATAAGCTTAGTCTTGTTTTAATGGAACAATAGATAATTATTTTTAATTGGAGGCTTTCACTTTTAGCATAAACAATGTTCTCCCTCTGATTTTTACAGCTTACATTTTACACCATGTTATATATAAGCTATAAATTATTGTGTATGTCTCCAGTTACTGTATAACATACTGGTCAAGTTCAATAAGCCTCTGATTACAGCTTGGTCATGAAATCTGTTTTTTGTGTTTGGGGGTTTTTTTTACTATTTAATGTCAATTGAATTGTTACTATATCAGATAATAATGTAAAAGCAGAGATATCCAGGATTTCAGAAAAAGCACTCCCTAAAAAGCACAGAAGAAACGATTAAATCAGGAACACAGCCTCTGTTAATAATATCAATGTTTTATGGAGCAAATAAGGGTTAGTAGATACTGTGTAGCATTGCTCCTGTTTTAGCTAGTACGTTTTAGTCAGGGAATCTTTTTTTCAGACCGTTTAATATTCAGGAGTTACTGCTGTTTATCAGTTTTACTGATTAAGAACACTGGAATTTCTATATTGGATGAGACCCAAGATCTATCAGCTCCAATACTCTACCTCCATCAGCGACCAATATAGGACATTCTTTCCAGGATGTACACCGATTACAAGTGGCATATGCTCTGCTTGCAAGAGACACAAAGGGCCAAACAGCAATAAGCCATTGATCCCTGGGATGAGATTTAGCCATCAAAAGGAAGCACAAGAAATAAGGCAGTTCTATCTTTGTAAAACCAGAGCCACCATCAACACAACATTGGCATTGAAATCTTGATCATTGATATAGACAACATCTCTGCAACATCTGTTTATAAGCCTCCAAGGAAGTGTTTTGCATATGTAAACCCAGGAAACCTAGACTACAGAAAAGCATGTGTGATCTTCAGTGACTTGAACAGCCACAATGTCACGTGGAGTTACAGTGAAAACAATGAAAATAGTAATTTGATCAAGATATGGGCTGAGGCAAACCACTTCAGCCTGATCTACCTGGGTTTTTGACTAGTTCCCGATGGAGATGGAGCTATAAACCAGACCTTGCCTTTGTTGACAGCAACCTAGAAGTTATGTTAAAAAAAAGACATGCTGGAACCTATCCCCTACAGACAAGACAGACTAATTGCTCTCAATGTCACAGCAGCCGTAACTCCAGTTATGGTACCAATGCATAGATGCTTCAATTTCAGAAAAGCATTTTAGAGAGGCTTTTCTGAAGACCTTCACAAAAAAGTGGCACACATTGAACCAGTCTTGGATAATTATGAGCTATTAGTGAATGCACTATACAAAACCTCCAAAAGATATATACTGTGAGGATACAAAACTGAGTATATACCAGTATTTACTTCCATGCTAGCAGCTGAATACATAAAATAGCAGCAAATGTTTCAGAGAGACCCTTTCTCAGAAGGCACTATTGTGGCAGGGACAGCCCCAACTGATAAAGTCCAAGAATAAAGGTGGATGGAAAGAACTGATGGAAGGAATAGATATGAACATGGAAATGGAAAGAATTGATTGAAGGAATAGCTATAAGCCACACTAGAAGGAAAGCATGATTAACCATTTGCAAGCTGAGTAAATGACCTGACAAAAGTACAGCAATACCACAACATCACAGCCAAGCAAGTGGCTTACCAGCTTCTGCTCAATAATAAAGCTCTAAATAAACAGCCTAAAATACAAATTAGATGGAAAAGTGATCTGGAGGAAAAGTATTATAGCATGTCATACATAATGGATGAACTCAATGATGGAATAAGTCACCTGAGGAACACCAAAGGAGCTGGACTCAACAGCATACACATGGAGCAGATCAAGCACTTTGGTCCTGCAACCAATTTAAGGGTTTTGACTCCTTTTAACAATTGCTTATTGACTCTTAGCATACCTAAACTATGGGAACAAGCCCCATATAATAGCTCTGATAAAGCTGGCCCAGAGAACTTCAGACTAGTGTCACTCCTGTGCTGTATTTATAAGCTTTATGAACACATTATTCTCAATTGCCTTTCACCTCATATCAAACAACATCTGATAGCAGAACAAGTTGGATTTAGACCAGGTAAGCCTGCACTGGCCAGATACTAAACATCACCCAACATTTAGAAGATGGATTTGAGAAGGGGATGATAACAGATTCGATGTTTGTGAACATAGCAGTCTCATATGATACAATCAATCATTGAAACACACTTGCCAAATCTACTACCACATGACACATGACTACTCCCCAGTGCAGCTCATCCAATCCCTTTTGGAGAATAGACATTTTTACTTATAACTATGCTAGAAATGGAGCCACTGGAGATGACAATGAAATTGCTACTACGCTGCCCTGTGGGAGGCCCTGATCCTCTTTAACATATATACCAATGACCAACCCATACAGAGCAATATGAGGAGCTTTATATATGCTGATGATCTATGCATCATCTCAAGAGAAGGACTTTGCCACTAGCTTTGTGGCAGCTCAGCAAAGATGCAAGTCACAGCCTTTCACCTGTGCTATAGAGTAGCCAAGCAGAAATTAAATATTACCCGGGGTGGAATTCCACTGACTAATCGCCCAATCCCTCCTAACTTGGAGGTTACACTGGACTGAACACTTACCTTCAAAGTACATGTAGAGAAGATGAAAGAGAAAGTCAGAGTACGCAACAACATACTTTGAAAGTTGGCCGCCTTAAAATGGGAAGTGAACCCAGCTACATTACAAAACACTGCTATTGCCTTGTGTTACTCCATTGCAGAGTATGCATGTGCAGTATGGGAATAATCACTTCATGCCAAGAAAATAGACCCAGTTCTAAACAGCAGCTATTGTGAAATAACAGGATGTCTGAAGCTATGGATAGCCTGTACTTACTGGTTGGCATTTCACCACCTGATATCAGAAGAAAGGTAGCGAGCCAAAAAGAAAGATCCTGGTAGATGAAAGACCCCAGGCATCCACTTTATAGTCACACCGAAGTAACTGATATGGACTGGTCAACATGGCGATGCCTGAACCAAACCGCCTGCGCCTGTAAACTGGAAGTTCAAAAACAAACATGATCGAATGGACCTACTGTAATGATATGAGAATGCTGAAATGCAGACCATGGAACAACTGCTTATTTTATGACTTGGTGAGATCTGTACAAAGGAGGACCTCACTGAAGCAACAGAAACAGCCATCGCTTCTGCATGATTCTGGAAAAAAACATCTGGTTAATGACAAGAGTACGAGATGAAGAATAAGAAGTGACTCATACTAAAAGTTTTAAGAGAGGGGCATGGAACTTATATGGAGCAAACAGTGTGATCAGTTCCCTAATTCTTTCCATTGGGCTTAACCCCTGAAGCAGAAAGTTTTATACCTCTTCAAAATGTATTTATAATAATTCCAAATGTTATCTTTTTGTTGTTCATATAAATAGATTGGTAGGTTCGTATAAAATGGATGTATTGGCTGTTAGGAGGGGAAAAGAATCCTCCTTCTGACATGACAAGGTTGAGGGGAAGATAGAAATATGCATGAGAACAGAAAAGAAAGGAGAATAGAAATATGTTTCAAAGAGTATAAAAAGCAACACCATATCCAAAATCATACTGTGAAATGTAAGTAAATTATTTAGCAACCTTAATGAAAGATACTGGTATATTGTAAATTATCCATGTTCTTCTGAAGGAAATTACCAACAAATCTTATTAAAAAAACTTAAGAACTACTGATTTAAAATTCGGGATTGTACAGTTGAGGTGTTGATGGTAGAAAGAGGTATTTCTCATAAGGATATTCTTTCTGATTCATAAATTGATGTCTGACAGAGTTCAATATTAGATTCTATTAAGTATGACAGTAGTATCACATCATTTGTTTTCATTGTCTCATTATAGATTGCTGCAGGATTCTTTAACATCAACTGCTTTGGGAAATTGTATGCTAAAAAATGTTGAGCGAATTTTATTTTCATTTGACTGATAATTGTTTTCTATATTCAGTTCCTCCAGTAATTCGAGTCTATCCAGAAAGCCAGGCCAGGGAACCAGGTGTGACAGCTAGTCTCCGATGCTATGCTGAAGGTATCCCCAGTCCACAACTTGGTTGGCTGAAGAATGGAATTGACATTACTCCAAAGTTATCCAAACAGTTAACTCTTCAAGGTAAAGGAACATATTTGCTGCTTTCGAATGGCAGAAGAATGGATTGTTTTTAAATAGCATTACAGCATTCTCACCTTGCATATTTTCAATATCCGTTTAGGTTTAATTTATAAGTTAAGGTACAAGCATGAAGTAGAAGGTGAGAAGTAGAACTGCCTCACCTTAAGAGAAGTGAAACCATGCCTTAGAGACATTCTGAGGCACAAATCCCTGCCTGCTTTCTTTTTTCTTGAATAGCGGGGGGAGACGTAAAAGCTTCCGCCTCTATTAGCAGTAAATGTTAATGTTTCCAGCCATCCGTATCACTACACTATGGCTTATCCTTGATGATCAGTATATTATGGAAGCTCAGCTCAGCCATCACCTCTTTTTCTGCCAGCCTGCTTCAAGAGAGAAAGTAAGCTCAGTAAGTCAGTCAAGCTTATAGATTTTAGTATAATTAGGTGTTAGGGCTGTGCAAAGCTTCAGTAGCTGATTCAATTTGGAGGAGATTCAGCCTGATTTGGGGAGTGAATCTCTGAATCGGAGTCGAATCAGGAAACTAAGTAAAAGTTCTGAATCGATTCAGAAAAGATTTGGCCAATTCAGAGATTCAGCCATAGTCTAAACAGGCAGATGACAGCTGCTTACAGCTGGTAAATCTGTCGGGGTTGTGGGAGGGGGGAGGAAGGATCAGGGCTGGGGCTGGGCCAAGTTTTCCAGCTGGAGTGGGAGGACATGTTACTCAAGGATGGGGTGGAGGAGTGTGGGATGTGGGTGAGGCAGTGCCTGGAGTGGGGGCTCTGCCCTGCTGCTGCTTGCCTAGCTGGGATGCGGGGGCAGGATGTGTGGGCACAGCTTACTACACGTGGAGGGGGCAAGTGGCAGCAAGTTATAGCCCCCGATCCCAGTGCTGCCATGCCCACATTCCATGCCCTCTGCACCAGCTGGCAAGTGGTGGCAGGGCAGAGCTCTTACTCCCAGTGGAGAAGCCACAGGAGAAACCTCATGGCTTCCCTTCTGCCCTTTCTGGCCCCACCCCCCGCTGGCCCAGCCTCCCAGGACTTAAAAAAATACAAAAACAAAAAAAAAGCAAAAAAAGCCGTGCACTCACCAGCTCTGGCAGTGGTGATTGGGGTCTCTGAGGACTTGTGGAAGAGCTCCCCCATGCAGCGCAGGGCAGTGGCGGGCAGCAGAGATGGCCCCCCTGCCTGGCATCCGCATGGCAGCTGCCCCATAGTGCAGGTACAGTGTGGCTCGGCAGGGCACCGCATGTTGCCTGAGAGCTGGGGCAGCTCCACCTGGCAGCTGGAGCCTGGAGGCACTCAGTCCCATCAGCCCCAGCTCCCAGATAGCATGCAGTGCCCTGCCAAGCCACACAGCACCCACGCGATGCGACAGCTGCAGTGCGGGTGCCAGTTGGGGGGGGTGATCCAGACTGCCCCCAACTGCCTTGTCCTGCATGGGGGCCTCTGCCACAAGCACCCAGAGGCCCCAATCACCACGCCTGCAGCTGGTGAGTGCCGGGCTTTATTTTTTTTTTAAGGCTCCCACATACCAGCTGTTGCATCACGTGGGTGTAGCGCAGCTCAGCAGGGCGCCACACACTGTCTCAGAGCTGGGGTGGCTCTGGCAATCAGCCAAAGCCCAGCATCACTCAGCCCCAGTGACCCCAGGTCCCAGGCAGTGCACGGTACCCTGCCAAGCCACGTTGTACCTGTGCCATAAGGCAGCTGCCACACGGGTGCTAAGTGGGGGGGTGGGGGAGGGAGGAGCCATCTGCACTGCGCTGCCCTCACTGCTCTGTGCTGTATGTGGGGTGGGGGGGGACGGGACTCTTCTACAAGCACCCAGAGGACCCAGTTGCTGCTCCTGCAGCTGATGAGTACGCCTTTTGCTTTTCTTTTTTTTTTAAGTTCCAGGACTAGGCTGGGGCTGGGCAGGGGATGGGTCCAGTCAGGGAAGCCATGGGGACTTCTCATATGGCTCCCCCCACCTAGGGAGAGGCAGGCAAGTCCGAATCATTGAATCTCTCTGAATCGGCGCTGAATCTTCCGAAGCTGATTTGGCTAAATCAATTCAGGACAGTGATCTGAATCTCCAAATTGAATCACTGTCTTCCAAATCAGCTGAATCTGAATCTGAATCGAATACTTCCCTATTCACACAGGCCTATTAGGCACTGAAATTGTTGTGAATTTGGTACTGCTGAAAATTATACCATGTTTCCATTTCCCTAAATTAGTAGCAATGTTGTTCTTTTAAAAGCTAAAAACATTGAATTAGATTTTGGCATGTTTTGTTGAAGTCCAAAGTACTTCTGACTTTGTCAATCTAGAAAAATATTCATCCTAGTCTAATTGTGGTCAGAATGTGGCATAGTGTGCAATATCAGTGTTTATCTCCATTGAAAACAAATAGTTTAATTTAAAGATGGATTACGATTTAAGGCCTATATTCCAAAAAAGGACTTTAGTGCCTCAAATGGGACTGAAATAGAAATTTTTAGATTAGGACTTAAATCTATTTGCAGAATTCTCACTCATGTGCTGCTTAACCCTGCAGCACCTCAACTCTGTAGGCCCTTTATAAATTTCAGCACATTTGTCAAGTCGTGCTCCTAGGCATACATACAGACATCTTAGCCTTGACTGTGCTGAGCAGCTCAGCACCTAGCTCACTTTTATGCCATGTATATTTCAACAAACTAGTCAACTGTCTATCTGTGTTCCCTGAAAGGCTTGAATCTAATGGACATTCCCAGATGATACCTAAATTATGGTCCCTGCATGCGAGGCAGTGGCAGCTGCTGCTTTTTCTTAAAACCCTGTAAGAGGAGAAGATAGTTGTACTGCTAAAAATATACTGGTTTTACATAGCATATGGTCAAATGTCTAAGGTAGGGTAGGGTGTGGGGTATGGTAAAACAAACTCACCAAGGATTTGGGAGATCCAAATTTGAGAGGATTAAAACCCACACCATCAAACCAAATAGATGAGATGTTGACTGGGGGACATGGGAAATCTCTTGATGGGAAAAGAGCAGAAATAGAAGGGTCTAAAGAAGTGTTCTTGTGAAGCAGCTAGGGGCAGCCTAAAGGATCACTAATGGACATTATGGTTGTCTGAGTTCCCACAGTTGTTTGGTGTCCATTCTCCTCTTGATGACCATTTGTTCTGTTAGTAAAATAAATTATTTTCTCTCATTCTCCCCTTACTTCATGCAGAGAAGAGGCTTGGGAATAAAAAAAATGCAAAATTCCTTCTAATAAAATGCAAGTTTGAAGCTAGAAGTAGGATAGAGATGGATGAGAGGCAGCAAAATGTTCTGTGAAGAGATTGTGTTACTTTTACTTTTATGCAGCCAGTCCTGAGATCTCCTATAACATGTTGCTTATCCACATGCCCTGGCCATAGCCCTATCCAATTTCGCCTTTTAAGAACATTCACTACAATCAGTGTTCTCTTTCGCAGAATTGCTCCCAGGGTGCACTTCTCCTGGGCTTCCATCAATTTGCCTTGGAGAGTAGAGTGGGGAAGCCTTCGGACCTTCATATATTAAATGCCTTGTTATAAATAAAATGAGTTATATTTTTTCTTGCATATCGCTTAATGATGTGGATAAGTGCAATATATATTTTCTCCAGTGATGTTCCCATCCTCTACCCATTAACTTGGAAGAGAAAAAAAACTATAAAGTCTGAACTCAGAGAAAAGGTGTTCTGTAACAAGTTTCACAGGAAACCTCTAGGTTCTGCTTCATCCTTATTCTGCAGTAACTTTGTAAAGGACAATTTTTATTAGGCACTACAAAGTTAAGCAGGAATATTTTGCATTTACAGCATTGCCATATATTAGATTAAGGTATATGTCTGTAAAATCAGATAATGTTACCTCTGTCTTCCAAAGTCAATGTACAACCTCCAATTTGTGTGAGCAAATATTAGTATTTTTTTTCATATGCAAACTTATGCACAAACTTAAGGACACACATCTCCACATGAAAAAAAGTGTAAAGTCTTATTTTATAAACATTTTGTCTGCTATTCTGCACTCATCTCAGGTGAAAATGATTCTCTAGGGTTTCTGGGAAGAAATAAAAATAAAGGAAGATTTTTGGCAGGGAAGCATATTAAAGCGATAGTACATATTTGATGACACTATCTGAAAAGTAGATTTTCTGATATTTCCAAGGAGTTTCATCCTGACCTCATTGTATACAAAATCAAAATCATGCCCATTACTTCTGCAATGAACTTTACAAAGAAATACAGGCTCCCAGGTGTTTTTAGAGTTTAACAGCTACAAGCATACATTAATAAATTCTCATGCACAAAATCCATTTGTCCAAATACATTTTGTATGTATGAGTCCCATCACCAAAATGTACAGTGCTACAATTGACTAAATTGAGAAGTACATACAAGGACTGTGAGATTAAAGCAAGCAAACTAGGCCATCATTTTTTTTCTAACTCGATTATACAGAATAATAAAGAAGCTCATTAAATGTTGCGTCCCATATTCTGGAAGCTATACATCTCTTGCAGAATGTATTGTACTGAAAATTTCTCCCATTATGTGCTGTGAACTCCATGGCATTTTCTGTTAAATCAGCAATGCAAGGTGCTAGCATTGCAAATGATCAGATACAGCATTAATAAAGCAGAACAGCTCAACTCTACAGAAGAGGGCATACCACTTTTTCAGATCTATGTTGTCACTGAAACAAGTACAAAATCTGAGACTGACATCTGGAGCCAAGCATCCAAAATGGTTGAGATATTCCTGTTATCTGTGAAATGAATGAGAGTAGAGTTTACTAACCAACTGAATACTTTTGGAGTAGTCTGGCATGTGTCCAATATATGAACTGAGGAAGGAAAGTAGTTTAATTAGGATAAGCCTGAAAGCACTGTAGTAAAACTAAAATTGTTGTTCACGTGTTGCATTCTCCTTTGCTTTCAGCAAATGGCAGTGAAGTTCACATTAGCAACGTGCGCTATGAAGATACGGGAGCATATACTTGTATTGCAAAGAATGAAGCAGGAGTGGATGAAGACATTTCTTCTCTTTTTGTAGAAGATTCAGCTCGGAAGACCCGTATGTACTGGAAAAATAGTCTCTCTTTTATTTATTTATTTATGCATTTATTTATTTATATTTCTTAGCTGTGTGTTAAAAGAGCATTGATATTGAAAAATAATCAAATGTTAAATAATTATGTATCAACATCTAAGTAGTTGGGAAGTATAAACAAGGAAACAAAGAAAGTTGTGAAAATGATTATATAAAAGGATCATTAAAAAAGGAAATGAGATGATAAATTTTACGTCTACTGAGAAGTGAAGTGAAATTTCTAATTAATTTTGTAAACTGAACTGTCTTTTACATCAATATTACAGTCTGAATAGTTAGCTAAAATAATTTTCCAATTCCTGGAAAAATTTCTGTCTGCATTTCTGAAGTGCAAAGTAGAAACATAGGTTACTTTCAGCTAATCTTCTCCCCCTCTGATTTTAGATTAAATTAATAGGCAATCTAGGCCTCAGTGTAGCTAGTGACCAAGTTGTTCTAAATTCCTGTAGGGCTAACAGGTTCCATGACTTGTGGTCTGACTCTTTGGGGGCATCTCTATGAGTGCACATGTGTGGTTTGTGGCACCTCAAAGCAGTTTGAGTTGCCACAAACTGCATGCGGCACACATGCAAGTGTTCACCATGCTGCTGATTTGCTGCACGGTAGGGTTTTTTTTATACTTGAAGATCCCATTGTAAAAAAATAAACCCCAAAAACCTGCCACTAAAAAAAGTGGTGCAGCAGATGTGGCAGCAGTATGTGCCACCAGAAACCAAGGGGCCAGATCAGTGCTGCTGCTTCACAGGGAGGCCCCCAGAACCCCAGGTACCCCGTCTGGGTCAATTTTTCCTGTACAGTGGCAAAAACAGTGGCACAAATTTGTGCCACTGCTATTTTTCCTTGCAGCATCCGCATGCCCCTGCACATGGGGACATGCTCTGTGGTTTCATTTTGCTCCTAATATGTTCCCTCCACACTCCAGCCCTCACTAGAACACCGGCAAGACTGGAAAAGCAGCAATGACCTTAATTCTTATGCTCTTAGAATTCCACTTTGCCAGGGAAGTCCTTAACTACTAACTTAAGTCTGCTCTAAATGCCATTTGCAAAACTAGAGTGATGCAAAGAAATTTCAAAGGGGCTAAAGATCTAGAAACCGTGCTTCCAACCAAAATAAATATGATATTTCCCAGCCACAAAGAGCCTTGACTTACATTTCATGGGATAGCTCTTAAAATTTTAGTAATTGCTACTTAAATATCAATTGGTATGAGTATATGCTGTGAAAATGATAGTCACTTTAACAGTGAGTCTCATTGCATTAATTCTCAAGGTATTCCTAGTACAGCCACCTGGGAGAACTTACTAAACTATCACAGATAATATTACAGTCGAGGCTGGGAGCATTGCAGGTTGAGGTCACCTGACACTTCGTATTATATATGACACTTCATTCAGCTGTGTATAACTTTACTAAAGTGTAACCTCTTGGGATAAAATTCTATATTGTTGATATCTATCTTGGGGGGGGGAGGGGGGCGAGAGGGGGGATTTTTTTTTCTCCCCAGACCAGGAGATTCAAGTATTGCTGAAAATGAGGTTAAGGGAAAATGTTTTGTGCATATTACAGAAATCTGTTATTTTAGGAGTTCTAGCACCTTGTCCTTGGAGCAAGGACTTGACATTTGACAGTGGTTACATTGCATCAAGAAGGTGCTTTTTGCTTTTTTTTGCTAAAATCTTTCCAAATTGGGCCCTTGGAATATAAAACCATGGAAAATGCTATTTGTATGTCCTCCAGAGAGACTTGTTCTGCCTTAACTAAAATCTAAAGGATCACCCCTCCTCTCCCAAACCTAAGCAATCTAAAATCTCTGGAGATTCTGTCCACATGGAACAAACTCTAGCATTAGCAATCACATCTGTGGGTCGTGACATGCCTAGTCTAGGTGCCACAACTACAACCATGAAGATTGTCTTTATGCTCTTAGTGCTCATTGTTTGGTCTTAGGCAACATAGGTAAGACGGGTCTCTAAACTGAAAAGTGTAACAAGCAAAGTTGATGTCTGGGAGTGGAAACCCTACAAGAGAGTGGGAAGGGGGTATGTTTCAAGAATGGAGAAGTGCATTTCCAAGAACTAAGGGTGGGGCATGTGTTTCTGAGAGCAGGGGTGGAGGGGAGCTGTCTTACCCATGCTGGGAACTTGGGAGCTCCTTACCAATCCCCAGCTGAGGTACTGCTGCCACTGCAATGTGCTCTGCCTGCCCCAACTGTTGCTCTTAAAGCAGCAGCTACCAGGGACTGTTTAGGAGCTCCTCTCATGGGTGTGCTACCAGAGTGCAGACTCCACAGGGGTGAGGGGTGATTCTGGCACCCCTCCTAACTTGACCACTGGGATGAGTGCCCCTTTCACCCACACCTGGTTGCACTACTTCCTGAATTGAATGTAGAGTGGACAAGAGCCAGACTATGGGTGTTAAGGTTGCTATTGTGATAAAGAGCCTGGGAAAAGATTGGAACCAAAGGGTGATTGTGGAAGGAGAACTGGGACTGAAAATGTCTCTGGTGACTGGGACTGAAAGGACCTGAAGAGAAATTGTGTCAGTCTCCTTGACTAAAAAGAGATATGTTAGAACCAACAGATAGAGAGTAGGAAATATTAGGTCAGGAGAGATGGATCTGATGAAATCACAGAAGCCTTACTGTATTCAATGCACAGGATGAAAACTGTTCAGTCAGTGACGTTGTTCCAATATTTTGCTTTATCCTTATTGTTCGGCATATGGCAATATGACTTTATTTACTTCACGGTATTCAAATCTTGCTCTGAAGATATTATTATTCATTTTATTAGACACACATCAATTTATTTGTTTCACGTTCATTCATTTCATGACATCTTTATGAGAAGAGGTAGCAGTCAAGAAACTTTTGCCTGATGTCAGAAATGGAACAAAATAGGAAAGGACCATTTAAAGGTCACAAAAAATGCAGGTTTTTAGTTTTATTGTTGTGGGATTACAAAACTATGTGGTAAACCTTAATTTTGTCAAGATAGTCATCTTCAGCTTGAATAATGTAGATATTCTAAGGTCAGGAGAAAGATATGTTTGAGAGAAAGTCTGGGCCCCCTCAGCCTTTTAATATTTTAAATATGATTTAGCCAAGGTTTTTTAAAATATTCTTAATAATCTCTTTCTCTATGTTCTGCAATGTATTTATTTAATCTGGACATTTTTTTTTAGATTGTATATTTGCCAATTTAGTTTATCATTTCACATTATGCACCTACAAAGAAATGTTTGGCTTTTTTTTTTTTTAAAGACATTTTTTTTGTTTTAAGTTGAAACTCTGAAAAGATTATATAACAAATCCAAATAGCTTTTTTTAGGAATTGTATTATAATGTAAAAATATGATGGTTTTATAGTCACATTCTTTGACTTTATGGGATTTACAGAACCAATAACGGACAGAAAATAATTAGAGTTGTACTGATACATTGGTCTGGTATCAGTTTGGTACTGTTATAAAGAAAATTGGCTGTACCAGCCAAGCCCCAAGCCCAGCCCCTGCTGAGAAGAGCCTGGCACAGCCCCAGCTCCAGCCCACAGCTGCAGCCTGCCTGCCTGGCCCCATGCAGATCTGAGGGCACATGCCCCCTCCATGCCCTCCCAGGGTGTGTGCAGTGGCGGGAGATGCCCCCCCCGCCCCCCACAAGGCACAGCTCTTTCCCATGCCCACCCCATACTGCCTGGGCAGTGCCTGCCCCTGTGCCCTCTCCCTCCCTCACCATGGGGGGCATTGATCTGCCTCCCCATATCCCTTCCCTCCCCCCTTCCCTTCACCACAACAGACTTACCAGCTGCACGCTGCTGTATCAGAAATCAGATTGGCATTGGCCAATATGCCTCCTTAAATATCAGCTATCAGTATTGGCCCCCAAAATGTCTATCGGTGCACCCCTAAAAATAATACATATTCAATAAATGCATTCAAGTCCAGTAGCACTATGCTGGGAGCAGGCATCATGGCCATTCAGTTTTAGCTGAAATTTGTAAGTGGAGGAAGATGGAACATAGACCAGATTGTTTCTAAGATCATCTATACAGATGACCTTACCACACACACACATACACACACACCTACACACAGGGTCTAGTCAAACTTTGCTTGCTAGAGGCTCATAATCTTATATTTAATATACTCTTATTTCTGTGGATATTTGAACAAGCTTTTCCAACTCTGTAGTTTAATAAGTACAGATATAGCCCACAGCTACTTGTATCTCATGACACCTCAAAGCAACATTTTAAACATGGGTGCAATTAGCACCTCAAAAAGAAGCATACATCCACATTGTAGTTTAGATACCTGTAACCATAAATATCAGGTTAAAGTTCATGGAAATAAAAAAGGGTAATATTGCCAATATCAAGTTCTCATTACTTGCCTGGCTGAGCAAATGCTGTTTGCTGCAGGCAACACAAATGTATATTCATTCTTTGCCAGAACCAGTGTTGTGTTTCATTTGAAAGGGACGGTCCTTTACAGAATATTTAGTAATTTATTAGCTTCAAATTAAGGGTGGAATGGGTTTGTCACTAAGCCTACTCAGTGTTTATTCAAACACCTCAAAACATTGATTTGTGAAATAAATTGCTTTACTAATAACGTAAATGAGAAAGATACCGAGAAAACCATCTTGTTAGATATTTGTTACCTTATCTATAAGGTTACCATCACAACTATAATTTAATGTCTGCTGTTGAGGCTACAATTTTATGGTTCAAGAATGTCCTCTGGTATGATTCAAATGTGATTTTTTATATGATTTTTATATTTTGCCTGTGTCAGAACCGCAATATATTACTTTTATGATATGTCATTCCACTCACCCTCCATCATAGGAATAAAGCAGGCATGTTTATTTTCTTAATCTAGACTATTCTCCCCCTCCTCCCCACCTCCCCCCATAAAAGCGTGGGAATATCCCTGTTGGAAATACTTTCTCCCCAGCTTGT